ATGTTACCCTAATCTGAAGGACCTTCTGGGATCAACCAAACATCTCTACAGTAGGCATGTGCATGGGGAAAATTTTTGGTTCGGAATTCCAAAATTTGTGACTTTCGCAATTCGGGACTTCGGCACTTCAACACTTCAGAACTTCGGCAACTTCAGCAACTTCGACACTTCGGATATTTGGCAACTTCGGCACTTCGACACTTCGGAATTTCGGGACTTCGGCACTTCAGGACTTTTTTTGCAGCCGCTTAGTAGATAACTCCCTAATTCCCACGGTATTAGGGAGTTATCTACCAAAAGACTGAAAGACCTAAATTGGGCTTTCAGCCAAATTTACTAATACTAAGTAAAATCTGTAGTAATATTAAATTAACAGCTATACATGACCTTGTCATCTCTAACTCACTCACAATACTGGCACTCACTGAGACCTGGCTGTCCCCCTCTGATACCGCTACTCCCGCTTCTTTATGTTTTGGTGGACTACAATTCTCCCACACTCCCAGACTCGACTGTAAAGAAGGCGGTGTAGGGATCCTTCTCTAACCTCAATGTACCTTTCAACCTATCCTCCCTGCCTCTGCCCTTTCCTTTACTTCCTTTGAAGTTCACACTGTCCGCCTTTTTAAGCCCACTCCTTTAAGAATTGCCATCATCTATCTCCCCCCCCCAGTCATCCTAGGCTATTCATTGAACACTTTTCTTTCTGGCTACCCCACTTTCTCTCCTCTAGCACTCCCTCCCTCTTGGGGACTTTAACATCCCAATCAACTACCTCAACTGCCCTGATACCTCCCGTCTGCTCTCTGTAACCTCCTCTTTTGGCCTCACGCAGTTGTCTACTTCAGCAACTCATATAGCAGGAAACACTCTTGACCTCATCTTCACCAATCTCTGTACCACCTATAAACTCTCCACTGTTCTATTTCCTTTGTCTGACCACCATCTGCTAACATTTGACATCAGCATACCCCGTACCCAAATTTCACCACCCTCTACTCTCCAATCTCGCAGAAACCCCAACTGCCTTGATCCCCAGCATTTCTCCACCAAACTCCAAACTCTCCTTTTACAGAAAGACACAAAACAAAAAAAGCAATAGAAAAAACTAGAAACAGTGAAATAAAGGGAAGGCATATATGAAAGAGGTAAGTATACGACAGGAAGTAAAAAAACAAGATCAGCCAATAGGAAGGAAAAGATAAGTATACCAGACTACATAAAACAAGGTATTAAACTATAGAAAAAACTATAAGAGGTGAACTAAAAAACACAGCGCAGGGGTGGCACGCTAAGGCCTAAGGAGTAGCACACAGGCAGAATGACCTGACAGGGAGGGGAATAATCCTCCTGGGAAGAAGAATGTAGAAAAATCTGATCCAAATGAGTGAAAAAAAGGTAAAACTTCAAATAAACAAGACTAAAAGGTACTGCTAGTCCAAACAACTAGCAGAGAAGGAATCTTAGCCATGTCTGGGGGCCAGCACTCACCTCACGTGGTGCCCCTGCATCAGAGGGATAAAGGTAAACGTGTGTTTTGGACATCAAGCAGAAAGGTGGTTTGAATGCCTGTCCCTGCCATCATCACCTCACAAATAGACCTGTACAGTATCATAGTACCAGTAAGATACTCCAGACCCTTAACGCGGGGAAGGACCCCCAGCTGGGAGAGGGGTAGTGGGAAAAAACAGGTAGCAGAAAATGGCAGGGGGAAACAGAGTAAATAAAGGCACAAACAATTCCCCTAATATAATCATCAAGCAACCAAAAATAGACTAATTAAATTAAAGTAAGATAAAGTAAAATGACATTCCACAGCCACCCACAAGAGCAGGAAGCAGTGGTACTCTGACCTGTACTGATGTGGAGCAGCAAAGAAAGAGGAAGTTATGTGTGGGGAGGGGAGTTTTATTGTACCTAACTTTTTTTTGATTGGTTGTTTCTTCTCTGTGTTAATGTGCTGCAGTGGAGTTCTAGTAAAGCGAGACTTAAGGAAATATGAAGCCTCCTGTCATGTTATAAAATTGAATTGAGCATTTCACCATTTATACAGTCTCTTAATTTTATGCCACTGATTTTGTGTTTTGTTTTGACATTTGTGTTTATTAAGGGGATAAGTTTGATAGGTCTTATGTGTTCATGCTCTAATTGAAGTGGATAGATGGTTTTATCTCTTAATGATAGGTCTTGTTTATGTAATATTAATATATTCTGAACATAATTTATAAAATTGTTTCAGTGTCAGATAAATGTAGTCCATCTTTAACAAGTAATACTGTCTCCACGTTGTTAAGCATTAATGTTAACCTAGATAGATGGAATGTTTCAGTTTGTTTTTCATTTTGTATCTAACATCATTGTTGTGCTGATATGTTAGCACAGTTTTAAGCATATTTTAATGGAGTGTTATTTTTCTATTTTTAAATGTGCTACTGATTTGCAAGTAACCTTTGGAAAAGTTGTCTTTTTATTTAATAGATATACTTGAGCCCATATGGACCACGATAACTAAATGCATTTGCATTGTATTCTACGGCTGTGCCAAAACAGTAAGGCATACATTGTAAAAAACAAAAAAACAAAAACAGAAACAGAAACAGAAAAACATATAGCTGTCCTATAGTAAGCTATTGGGTTGTGCAAAAATCTCAGATGTGACCATTCAGCTTTAAACTTAATGACTCAGTAATAGCCTTTACCCTTTAAAAAAAACTATGAGAAGTATTTTGTTAGGCAACATAATCATCATTCTGATGTTATGTAAAACATATCTTTCATTAATCCACTTTAGTCATGAGAGGGTTGGCCCTTTTAAATAGGCCAAACTTGTTTGTAAAGTTTGTGTATGGAAGATTTTAACAGGCAACTTATTTTCATCTACGGGGAAGTTATTTTCCTATTTTGACATTGTTATAATGGGTGCTGAAAAATGCATTCATACGTAAAATAACAAAACACAATGCTGTCAGCTTACAGGACTAATAATCTCTGTGTGGTTTGAAGTTACTTGAAGTTAGTTGATGTTTATTTGAAGTGTTATTCTTATTTTATTTGGTCATTTAAAATAAGAAGACAAGAAAAGACCAGGACTAGATAGTCACAGCAGTCTGCAGCAGCTACAAAACATTTGTAGAGACCTTGGCACAAAAGTAAAATTTTTGACACTTTGGCAACATAACAAAAGAAACAATCTTCTGATCTTACTGATATGATATATTTCTCAACTGATCTTCTCCTTCACCCCATGCTGGTCTCAACCAGTAACACAGAAAACCTTCATATACAGAACATGTAACCAAAAGATGGAAATGGGTGAAGGAAAATAAAAGCAAGTACCCGAAGATACATAATGAAAATAAATATTTGTATGTTATATATGTCAGTTATTCAAGTAAAGTTATATGTATTTAAATGAATAAATGTATTTTTTGCAAATAGAAATATGAAATCAACATTAAAATATCATGTTTGTTTACAAGAGCTAAAAAAAGCGTTGCTCATTTATCTGTTATTTTTGTAAAATTGTGAAATCCCAGATTTAAGGAATTTAAGACATAATATGCAAGTCATTTCATTTGTTCCTTCATAAACCTAAACTTTTAAACTTAATGTTATCTACTAATTAAATGAAACTGCCATGATGTGTTCTTTGTGAAACACTCAGTTTATCTATTTAAATGCAGAGTCATTAAAGCATTCTAACAACCACTGTAGCATAGGAGTAAATTTGTTCTGCTCTGGATTTTGCACAAAGCCTAAAATGGACAGTTATTCCTGTCTAGCATGTTTTACTATTTACTGAGAAAATGTCCATTGCTAATGAGAAATTTCACCTAGGATAAGTGAATTACTAGATTGTGTATAAAGACTAAAAAAAGACAAATAATAATGCAAAATGTTTTTATTTAAACCTTAGAAACAATGCACATATCTACTCAGTATGTATGACTAATTTGTTTTTAAGGGTTAATATTCCAGCATAAATTAATACTCCTTTTTGCTAGAGTATTGTAGACAGGAATCTTGGCTTTTTTTACAGACGGCTTTGTGTCATGTTGGACATTTTTCATCTGGCCTTTTATTCTTTTAGACATAAAGCTAGTTACTCACCTGGAAGGCATAGGAACAAAAGACTTCCCTTTAAATTCTGTTCTTTGGGTGTGAGCATGAAAAAGTGTTTACGTGGTGTGACATGCAATCTGGCCCAGGCTTGGAACATTGCATCAGCAATGGCCTCCAATTGCAATCTGTCCTTGGTATCCTGCAAAATCTAACTATTTATCATTCATTATTATCAAAAGCTGTCATTTATTTCTCTACAAAACAACTAATTGTGGCTGATGACCTTGTGCAGCAGATATGTCAAGAAAATACGTCCATTTTTTAATTGTACATGGACCCTTCACTACAATATACTAACTAGACAATTAAAATATATTGTGTAATGCAGCACTAATTAACTTTTTGACTGTGTATGTGGCAGGATTGCTTGCTTGCCCTGTTTACATGCAACATCCTGTCAAAACAATATATAGATGACTGCACTGCTCTTACAGGCCTGTATATTTAAAGGGACACTTAAGCACTACTGCTTTTTGTAAGAAATATGGTGCAAAGAGCCATTGCTTCTTTAAAGAGTTAAAAGGACTCTCCAGTGCCAGGAAAACAATAAATTTTCCTGGCATAGCAGGTCCCCTCTCCCTCCCACCTCCCATCCCTGCTTGCTGAAGGGGTGAAAACTTACCTGAGACCCCCGGGGCTGTATATGGGGACACACACAGGGGTTGTAGATGGGGACACACACAGTGGCTGTAGAGGGGGAGACACAGGGGCTGTAGAGGGGAGACACAGGGGCTATAGAGGGGAACATGGGCTGACAAAAAAAAATCCCTCCACCCCTAAGTTACCTTATTCCAGGTAGGGGTGGACAGGAGCTTGGAGCAGAAGCCAACAGCCAGCACAGAGCAGCCAGGGAAATCAGCCGGCCTCTCCTGATAATGTCAGAAGGAGGGGGCGTAACTTCCACTGCTCTTCTCCCAGACTCCCCAGTGGATTGCTGGGGAGTCTATGAGAAGACCAGTGGAAGTTACGCCCCCTACATCATCAGGAGGGGCCAGCCTCCCTGGCTGCTCTGTTCTGGCTGACTGCAGGGAGACAGCAGGTAATGTGAAAAATCTGAGTCCCCAGCCATAGGCAGAGGATTCAGATTTTTGCGCCGGTATTGCAGTGCAGCACAGAGCCTCAGTTTTGAGGCTTGATTAGGGTGTGCCCAGGCACACCCAGCACATCCCGTTCGCATGCCTATGGAGGCACATAAGGGCACATAAGAGCAAAGTAGGTCCCTCAGTATAAAAGAACAAGATATATAAATTAAACTTGATTGAGTAACTCAGGTCTAAAAAAGGGTACTCACAAAAAAAAACACCTTTAAAAAAAGCAATATAGCTTGCTTTAGGAAAAACAAAACAAAACAAGGAAATACATTTTCCTGTAGTGTCCAATATTATTTGTAAATGCAATGTGATAAATAAGTAGTTTCATGAGAGGAGTAAATTACCAGAGCTCTGCAGGTTTCCCTTTAGGGCTAAAAAGAGCTAAAAAAGTGCCTCCAACTTAAAAAATAACATTGATTTTAAATTAATAACAAGCAACATGTTGCATGATTAGGACCCCTTTGAAAATATATATTAAGCCGAGAGGTGCACCAGAAAAAACTATTTTCCATCGTAATAAACAGACAGTGTAACATAAGGGTCTTATCCACTAATTAATGCATGTATAACAAGCAGCAGGTAGTCCAACATGTGTACACATAGGAGGCCTTATTATCAGATGCCCAGGCTGTACATGTTCTGTGGTACCTGGCACTAAGACATTAGCAGCAGGTCCTTTAAGTCTTGCATGATACAAGACATGCTGCCTCCATGTATCAGATTTGTTCTTCTATCACATCACTCATATTGTCAATTGGATTGAGATCTTGAGAATTTGGAGGCTATGGTAACACCTTGAACTCTTTGTCATGTTCCTCAAATCATTCCTGAACAACTTTTGCAGTGTGGCAGGGTGCATTATCCTGTAGAAAGTGGCCACTGCCATCTGAGATCACCACTGCAATGAAGGCGTATGCGTGGTCTGCTACACTCTCTAGGTAGGTGGAATGTTTTAAAGTAACATCTACATGAATGCAAGGACCCTATGGTCCCAGCATAACATTGCAGATCCATAACACTTCCTCCGTCACTCTGCCTTCTTCCCATAGTGCGTCCTCTTGCCTTCTCTTCACCAGGTAAATGACGCAAACGCACCAGCCATCCACTTAATATAAAAGGAAATGTGATTGATCACACCAGCAACCTTCTTCTTTTGTTCTGTGGTCCATTTCTGATGCTCATGTCCCCATTGAAGGCACTTTCGATGGTGGACATTGGTTATTATAGGCACTCTGACCGATCTGCGGATACGCAGTCCCATATACAGCAAACTATGTTGTGTATTCTGACACCTTGTTATAATGGACAGCATTAAGTTTTTCAGCAATTTGAGCTGCAGTAACTCTTCTCTGTGATCGGACAGATGGGCTAGCCTTCGCTCCCCACATGCATCATTGAGCCTTGGGCTCCCATGACCCTGACTCTGGTTCACGGATTGTCCTTCCATGCATCACTTTTGGTATCTACTAACCATGGATTGCCAGGAACACCCCAAAAGACTTTCTGTTTTGAAGATTCTCTGACCCTGTCATCTATTTGTCAAAGTCACTCATATCTTTTTACTTGCCCTCTTTTCCTGCACGCAACATGTGCAATTCAAGAACTGAGTGTTTACTTTCTGCCCAATATATCCCGCCCCTTGACAGGTGCCATTGTAACAATATAATCAATGTTTTTCACTTCACCAGTGGTTTTAATGTTGTGGCTGATCAAGCATTACTTGTTTGTTTTGTTTGCATAGACTGCTAGGTCTGATGATACAGCATTGTTGTGATTCATTAGCAACAGTTACTTCTACTGAGTGGGGACTAAGTGGTTTTCACAGATATGATTCAGTTTAAATCTATTTGAATAATCTTAGAACGTTTCAGTTCATGACTAATCGTTTATATAATTTGTATGTTTTTTAGGTGTACTATGCATTGTAACATTGTTTTTGCAAGATGACACATGCCAGTTTCATTATATATACTTTAATTAGATTGTGTTTTATATTGTATAATAAATATTTAAAATGAAGTTGAATAAAAAAAAAACAATTCTCAATACCAGAAGGGAACTGTAACGAGAATATACCCCTACACGCAGGATCCAGCTAAACAGAGGCAAATACAGAGGAGAGATACGTCTACCGGACCTTAGAATGGCCGGACTCGACGTATAAGAGAGGAGACAGAGCCAGGAACAAACCGAGGTCAAGGGCACAGAGAGACAGCGAAAACTAGGACAAGCCGGGGTCTGGTACACGGAAAACAGCAAGCCGGCAAACAGTACAGATAAGGATAAAGCGAAAACGAAGTCAGAATACGAAGCCAAAGTCAATACGAGAAAACACAACTGAACACCACAAGCGCTAAAGGGAACTGAAACAGAAACCACGATAGGGCAACGAGCTAAGGGAAAAAGGTAAGTTTAAATAGCTTTTAAACGAAAGTGATTGGCTCCTGTCACTTCCACACCCCCTATAGGTAATTGTACAGGGAGTGTGGTATGACAGGAGCCAATGGGAGCCTTTTGGCAATTAGGCTCCCACTGTCTCTTTAAGAGTGCGCCCGAGACTTGCGGCGCGTTCTTAGTTTCAGGCGGGTCACTGCCCGCCTTCCATCTAAAGCAGTCGGATGAGCCGCGCGCGGCTCGTGCAGCCGCAGGACCGCGCGCGGCTTGAAGAGAGGACCGCGACCGGCCCCCGGTTAAGGTAAGTAACGCTACAGGAACACAGTACAGACCTTTTCTTACTTATACTTGATATACATCTGCAGGGTTTGTGGGCTGAGCTTATTTATGATGGAATTACTATTCAAAGATTTTGCATATGTTGGCAGTGTATTGCCCCCCCGTCCCCAACAAATTCCAGTTTTTAACAATATTTAATGGGTTACTCCAACCAAAATAACCACTCCTGCTCTACAGAGATATTTGCACTGGTTTGCCTGGGGCTAGTTAAACACCTGGTATACATGACTTGGGGGGAGAGCGGGAGGTCTAATTACTAAAATAAACTTGTTGTGCTTAGGCTGATCCAAGCAGCCCAAAAGCAATCCTCTCCCTCCCTCTTGGTCTCCATGGATGCAGAGAAAGTGTTCAACATGGTTGATTGGGAAAAAATATCAGGCACAAATATCAGGCACTGGGATACGTTAAGCAGCTTTAATAGATACCGTGTATCACAGTGAGTGGCTGAGATTTATTCCTTGACACATGTTCTCTGGGGTATGCTAACCCATACTCAGCTAACACCCTGTGTTATTTATGATTAAGTGCAACCCTCTTTTCTCTTTTGCAACATGGTTGATTGGTCACTTCTTTTTGTGACGCTTAAGTGTCTGGGATTTGGCACAAATATGTCAGCTTGGGTAGGATCCTTGTTCATCTGCCCATCAGCAATGGTTTGTGTAAACAACGTTCTCTCACACCTATTCAAGAATCGCAACGTAACCAGACAGGGGTGTCCACTGCTCCCCTGCTAATTACGATAAGCCTCAAACTTTCTTGAATTCAGTGTGCTCTGATTCCTGGGCATTGGTTGTGATCTGTTGCTAGCAGCATATCTTAAACACATGTTCCCCATGCAATGGTGTACTAGGGCTATAACATATCTTGGCATTATGATTCCTGCAGATCTCTCCAGAGTCTTCAGTCTCAACTGGGACAGTGATGTTTATCCTCATGTTCTCCATTAGTTAAAATGTTATCTTACTGGGGCCCCTCCTTCTCTCCCTCCCTTCCCTTCTCTTTTCTTTCTTTGCTTTCCTTCTTGCCCTCCATTTTCCCCAGCACCCGCCATCTGTGGCCCTCAACTTACAAAGCTATGTTTCTTACCTTATACCCTAGATACTCCTTCACTAGCTGCTTGTAACCCAGTACCTTGTCACAGAACATTAAAGAGTCATTGTTATTGTCTTGTTAACTGACAAGGCGGATTTACACTCTACTCCTGTTGAAGTAGTTTTCTGGACGCCTTAGAGCGTCCGATAGGTGGAGTCACATGACACTCTCCTGTTGGGGTAGGTACGAGTACATTCATGCCTCCCCTGTGAAAAAACTGGCCAGCTGTGAGATCGGCAGTCTCCCCTGATTGGCTATGCAGCAAGTGGCTAATTAGAGAATCGCCATTTATACCACACACATAGAAGGTATGGTTATTATGCCCCTGACGACAGCGTAGTAAGATGCCAAAACGCGCGTTGGGACTTTTCCTTTTTCACATGTAGGGAGCACTTTGTGGTTTTTATTATTATTTTTGTGACTACTGAATTGAGGGTCTGTTGGTGCAGGTAGGCACTAGCCTTGTGCGGTACCGAGGTAAATAGTAACATGTGGAGGTGTTCACCTGGAATAGCCCCATCATAGATTCTCTTGAGCTGGGACTATGTGTTATTTGGGGTGGGTTTTATTGGGACCCCATGTCCTTAATTCTCTAGGTATATTGTGTGAGGGGCAGGTAGAGTCCTCCTATAAGACCTCAGGTTTATCTGTCTATTTCTTGGAGACGTTTTCCTAGGCACAGTTATTTTTCACTTGTTAAACTTGTCTTCATTGGTCAGTTATACCTGACATCCCCTACCCCTCCCTTCTGATTTGTCTACCTGCCAGCACATTTGACTACTGTTCACTCAGTGTACAGCTTTATCTGGTGCTTTGTCTTTTAGTTAGTTCTCTCTCTAATAGCTATTAGTAAATATGCATCAATAAATAGTTTTGGAATATATCTGTGGCTATTAGAGTTTTAGTCTGGGCTTTCCCTATTGGCTACCTTGTATATCGGTGCCAAGGGAATTTTTAGTCTGCATTCTTGGGTTACCCCCTATCTGCTCAGACATGGTGATCCCCTTAAGGGACAGGAGGTGCAATGTGATATGCTTGCCCCAACTCATTAGCCCCAAGG